TCTCTCAGAAAATAGTAGAAACAATTTAAAAATGAATCCAATGTTTGACAGTCTTTATGGGATTGAGAGGTTAGTACTTGGTAGTTTAAATTTAGGCATATTGGGGGGAGTCATTTATTCTGAACATATTTATTGAGCATCTCTTAGGTGTGAAACACTGTCTGAGGTTGGAGTAGAAGTGAGACAGCCCTAGAGCAGCATCTGGTCCAGGGAGGAGATGGGAGGCACCCAAGGCAGTTCGCAGTGATGACTCAGTGTTAGGGAAGGTTGGGAGATGGCTTCTCAAGGGAGCCAACCCCTGAGTCCTGACAGATGGCCAGGAGCAGGCAGACAGCACCTTGGGCAAGGCTCTGATTTAGGAGTTCCCAAATCATAGGAGATTATTTCAAGGCTGACAGGGTTAAATCAAATCTTGAGCTCCTCTGCTCCAGGCTGACAGCTACTACTCCCTTCCTCAGGATGTTCAGGAAGTGTGACTTCCTTCTGGAAATCAGAAGAAACACCAGAAGCAGACTTGTCTTGTAAGACCCATGGAAGATGACGGTTGAAATTTTCAAGTGGGGATCTCTCTCCAAGTAACAGGCCGTACCATTCACCACCCAGGCCAGAGGGTGACTATGGTTTAAACAGCACATTTGAGGCCCACTGTGCTCCAGGAAGAAAGTCCTTCATACCCTGAAAAGTTACTGGGTGTGGACACTTAACATGGCTGCTAATAAAACTTCAAAAGTAAGTACTAAAAGGGGTTACTGTATGTTGATTCCTCTAAATCCTCCCGATTTGTGACCCCTTGCATTCTCACTCCTGCTTGGGCTTCTAAAATGCATTTTGTGTTAACTCACCATTCATCAGATGGATCTTCATTTTCGAACACAACTCCTGGGACTAAGTCTAACTCTGCATTAACACCAGTTGTTTTCCCACCACTTCAGTGTGTCAGTAACACCAGCAAATCTTGGAGGAGGTGATGTTATATCTATCACACCTAAAACTTACTGTTGGCCAAAATCTTAAATCCACAAAATGAAATACAGGCTTAAGTAAAAGCTGTTATGTACTTAACAGCACCAAAATTTTCCATTACAAATACTGTTTTTACTTGTCCTTAATTTGAAAAAAAGAAAAAGGAAAAAAGTGCCCTGGAGGGGGCTTTGAATTTCCAAGGATCAAAGATTTCTTCAGCTGTCTGAATTATAGGAATGCTGAAAAACAAAAACAAATCCTTTTCCTGCTATAAAATCCTTGCCATGTTTTTGTCTTTATGTAACTCAAAACGGCTGAGCTGAGAAAGAGGTTGGTGAGTCCTGTTCAAAACCTAAAAATTCATCAGAAATGAAATAGCTGGTAATTCCAAAACTGTCACTCCCACTAATCCGACCCCAAAATAAATTTTATTGAATTCTTATTTGATGATCCAGAAAATTGCTACATAGCACTTGTGAGCAAACAAAATAGATGATGGCTAAGAATACCAGAATGTTTTAAATTGTTTATTAAAGTCATTCAAGACTAAATTATTACAATTCAGGCTTGATGATGTTGTCCAGTGTAAATTTTCTTCATTCCACACCAGCCCACAGCTACAAATGTGTCCTTTTGGTAACACAATCGGCAAAATAGCTAACTGTTTATTTCAAAAACTTTTGGAGAAAACATCAGACTATAAAAAGTAACAGTTTGTATTTTCCTAGTCATCAGTTTACTGATGTTTTTGGTCTGAGGCCTGACTGGTATATAAGAAATAAACTGTTCTTAGCAGGGCGTGGCCTTCACTTACCAGCCATCTGGCCTACCAGGTAACGTGACCGCTGACCACCTGTGTATAGTGGTCTTGGAATTTCAGTACTTAAAGAATGAGCCGCTTTTTGCATTTATTTTCACACTAATGAACAAGTAGATAGCAAATCCTATGTCAAGTGTGTGTCCTTAGGCATGGGGGGAGCAGAGGCTACATGTGTCTGACCCTGGAGACACGTATATGAGGTCTGTGCTCAGGTAAGAGCTCATTTGTTGCCACAATCCTCCCATGTTACCTTTATTTAAATTTTTATTTTTTTATATATTTTTTATTCATTTATTTATTTATTTTGAGATAGTCTCAATCTGTCACCCTGGGTAGAGTGCTGTAGTGTCATAGCTCCCAGCAACCTCAAATTCTTGGGCTCAAGTGATCCTCTTGCCTCAGCCTCCCTAGTAGCTGGGACTATAGGTGCCCGCCACAATACCCAGCTAGTTTTTTTCTATTTTTGGTAGAGATGGAATCTCACTTTTGCTCAAACTGGTCTCAAACTCCTGAGCTTAGTCAATCCACCTGTCTCAGCCTCCCAGAGTGCTGGGATTACAGGCAAGAGCCACCATGCCCAGACAATTTTTGCCTTTCTAGTTATTAAAAAGAAATGTACCCTAGAGAAAAATGAAAAGACTGAAAAAAGTGAAGAGCAGAAAAGAGTTTTAAAAAACCACCATTTGCATTTGCTCTGTGTGAATTTACATTTTGTTGTATTTGCTTTATGAGGCATATTTACATAACTGAGATTATGCTGCACATAGAATTTATACTTTTTAAACAATCATTTTCTCATGTTACTCTAAGTTCCGTAACGTCAGTCTTAATGAATGCCTACTATTCTATTGTGAGATGTATGGTTTCTAACAGTTTGGGGGCATTCAAGGTGCTTCTAGTATTTTGTTACTATAAATATTCTGTGATTCCCATCTTTATGCATAAAAATGTTTCAGTATTGACTTATTAGACAATGACTTTAGGGTTGCAGAAGTCATTTCATTCTGGCTTAAGGAAATGGTTTATGTAGCAAAAACTAAGAGTGGATTAGCTTCAGGCACGGCTGGGCACAGGGGCTAAATGTGGGCTTCAGGAATCATCTTTCTTTCTGTCCAGCTTCCTTCTGCGCTGGCTTCATTCTTAGGCCTCCTTTATATCATCTTCCAGAAAGACAGCTGGCCCTTCCCAGTAGTTCCCAGTAAGTCCAGCATAAGGAGGGAGACTCATTAACATGACTGAGGTCAAAATCTTTAGGCATGAGCCAGTCAGTGGGGCCAGGCAAGGGAAGGTTCTAGCTGGCCACGGGACAGCCTGGCCTCCTCCCCACCTCCCCCACTCTGCAATCCTGGATTCTCTCCAGTTCCCTGAGCCCACTGCTCCTGCCCCCAACACTCTGCCCCAGGCTCCCCACGGCTTGCTGCTCCCTCAGTCCCACTCAGAGCCCTTCCCTGCCAGTCTTCGTGCTCTAGGGTCCCTCCCTGATCTATTTTATTCACAGGCTTGTCACCACCTGACATTCTGTGATATATTCAGGCAGGATGATTTGCCACCTTCCCTGCAACCATGATGGGCAACAGCGTTTGTGACTCCACCCACACTCAGTAAATATTCATCAAGCGCGTGAATGAGTCAGGTTGCCAGGCCAGGCCCGTACCCATCTGTACAGTCAGCCCACTCCAAGGACAGGCGATGGAAGCTAGGAGACCCGCGACACTGATGCCCATTGCAATTTCTCAGTCACTTTCTAAAGCAAATCCCAGGAGTGTGACTCCAAAGGACATGAAGGTTTGGGTTCCCTGAGAAGCGCTGCCTTCACTCTAGCTGCTTTATAAAAGTTCTCCTCCTAGCAGGTAATTTTTCTGTTGTAAGGCAAGTGTGAAACTAGGTTTACTGAAGAAGAGAAAGATGAGTTTACAGAGGAAGAAAGCTTACAAAGCAGGATATGTTCGCCCTGGGACTCCATTGCCAGGGCCAGAATGCAAAGAGGCCTGATCTTTCTGAAATGCAGACCACATCATACCCCTCTCCAACTTAAAACTGATAGCTCCCCCATTGTCCTGTGAATAAAAGAACCCCTCACCTGGCACCAGGCTGGAGCTGGGCCAGCCTCAGTGCTACTTCCCGATGGCCCCCATCACGGTCCACTCCTGGTGGTCCCAGTGCACTGGCCTTCTCTTCAGCATGGAATCCGCTCATTCGTACCTCAGGACTCTCATAGTTCCTCTTCTTTTTGGACGGCCCTTCCTTCAGACCTTGGCACAAATGTCGCCCCACAGGGGCCTTCCTTGGCACTGTAAGGCTGCTCCTCTCCTAGCCGCCCCAGCAAACACAGGCCCGTTTTCTTCACTGCACTCACCACTCTGTTTTCTCATCCATCCTCATCTTCCCCAGTAGAGAGTAAGCCCGGGAGACCCTCTTCTCTCTGTCCCTTGTGGTGCTCCCCAAACTCAAACTACTACCTGGCACGTGAAAGACTCTCAATAAACAGTATCCGTTAGAAAAAATTAATGAATTGCTCCCTAATTTACAAACCAACAGTAGAGACACACATTTCATCTCTCACTGAAGCAATTTTCTTTGAAGACAAACGAATGTTTTCCCCCCACTGCATGAGTCCTGGAGGCGGGGCAGTAGCACCTTCCTAGCAGACTGAGCTTCCCAGCTGAGTAGGGATCGGGCCTGCTACAAGGTTCCACTAGGATTTTACTTTCCCATCTAGTTTAAATGCAATCTGAATCTTAATCCTCAGTATGACAAAAGATTCCTTTCTATTTGCAACTGGACTCAAGGACACTTTCTGAAAATGTAACGTTGAGTAAAAATTAGTAAATAATCAGCTTATGTCTTTGAAATGTGGACAGTCATAATTTCTATTGCATTCCCACCCCAAATTATCTGGTGTTATTAGTATTTTCATTTATAGAACTCTTTTTAATCTGTTTATTGTTAACATTAGAATTCATGTACTTTTATTTTTTAAAGAACTTTAAATAAAAAAAAAGTCTTACAGAAAGAGTTCATTCATATAAAAAGTATTTAATATAGAGAACACCAGAGCACCTTTGTATCAGGTAAAAAAAATCCCTATAACATATATCAGATTATGCTAATCAAACTTCCCTTTACCTGAATTTCTGTTTGAATACAGAATAATAAATGTCATGTCTTCATCTGCTTCCGACAAGTCTTTGGCATTGCTCAACATGGAGATCATTAATGAATTCAGCAATTAAGATTTACTGTGTTCTTTGAAAAAAAAATGGCCAATACAAAGTTTTTCTAGTTTACAAATAGCACCAATGGAGGGGTGTGTCTAGTTCAAAGGGGATGTGTCTAAGTTCAAAGTCCCTAAGTGAGTGGTCTACCAAAATTCATGCACTGATGAGCATCAATTCAACACTGATGGTGAGGTCTGGCCGAGGACCAGGAAAGCAGGCTTTTGATGGGTTTCCCGAACAGATTCTCAGTTGTCTGCTGGACAAAATTAGAACACAGGTAGGAAGTCATGGAAGAAATATGCAAGTGGGCAAAGGAGCCCAGGTTAGCACCAGGCTGGGTTGACCTTGCAATTGCCAATTTAGTTGCTGAGAGGGCTGCTTCCTGTGACCTGGGGTAAAAAATTAAAAGAAAGTGAAAAAAACAAAGCAAAATAGTAACTGAGAAACTGAAAGACAAAGACACAGACACAAACACATAGACTCACCCTTGCCAAAGTAGTTTTCCTTGTTTTCTGCGAGTTGTGTCACCAATCAGCGACCTCAACCACAAAGGGCGTTTTCACGTCTATCTTGCCGCTGTTGACAATGGAGCAGTTGGTGAGTGGACGGTCGTGCCCGTCGGTGGCTTGGAGCTCTATGGAGTGCACCACTGTCTGGTGAGAGAAAAGGAGACACGTGGCTCAGTTCTGACTGGCAGCCATGGCAATCCAAAGGTGAAATCAAGGCCAAGCCCAAGTGTGTAATAAATTTTGTTATGACTACAAAAACTATGCATGCTAACTGTAGAAAAGTTAGAATATTCAGAAAATATATACTTACTACCTTGAGTGAAATTTATTCAGAATATTTTTTTTCAGAATATTCAGAAAATATATACGTCGAAAAATGAATTTCTTTTTTTTTTTTTTTGCAGTCTTTTTGGCCAGGGCTGGGTTTGAACCCACCACCTCTGGCATATGGGGCCAGCACCCTACTCCTTGAGCCACAGGGGCCCCCCGAAAAATAAATTTCGCTCACTATCTTGAGTCAGTGTTCTCACCGACTAAGAGAACATGTTGGTGTACTGCCTCCCTTCTTTTCTAATAAGCATTTGATATTAAAAGATTAGATATTTTTGTAAATACCTAGCTCCAATAAAAGGTATTTCTATTCACCTGCTGCCACCTAATATAAGAGTTAACAGGCAGTCTGAGGCAATTCCAGCTCCACCCTGTAAGAAGGCGTGATAAAATGGGCCAGAAAGCAAATTTAGAACTGAACCTACTCCTGGGATTACCTATTTTGAAGGAGACCCAAGCCATTAATCTACAGGTTGAGTCCAAATACCAGTGGCACCCAAAACCAGTGGTGGAAAGGCCCCTTGCTCTGCCCTGGAAGGCTTCACAAATGTTTCACACTGAAGGAGGTGAGGACTGGACCAGGACCAAGAAAGCAAGCTTTGGATGGGTTTCCCAAACAGGGTTGAGTAGCCCAGTTCCCAGACTTCTGCAGAAAATCAGATAACAGGTAGAAAGTTGTGGAGGAAATATGGAAGTGAGCAAGGGAGGCCAGGGGAGTCCGGCTGGGTTGGGCAGACTTTGCAGCTCCAGTTTAGTTGCTGAGAGGGCTGCTTCAGGCCGCTGCTCAGGAGAAATGTTGAGAGTGAAAGAGAATGAGGATTCCAAGGAACATCCCTACAGGTTGTGAATCGGACCCTATGACATTGTATCTGTGGGTCTCTGGATGTGACTTGGCATCTACACTGAACCCTATGGGAGTTTCTGTTTTTTAACATTTTATGTTTCATTATAGTAAGAAACACATAAGATTTCCATCTTATTTAAGTGCATAGTTCAGTAATGTTAAGTATATTCACACTGTTGTACAGCCAATCTTCAGAAGCTTTTCATCTTGCAAAACACAGACTCTGTGCCCATTAAACACCACTTCCCATTTACCCCTCCCCCACCCCCTAGCAACATCCATTATACTTTCTGTCTACAAATATGACTTCTTTAGATAAGTGGAACCATCCAGTATTTGTCTTTTTATGACTGGTTTATTCCATTTAGCATAATGTCTTCAAGGATCCACACTATAGCCTGTGTCAGAATTTCCTTTCTTTTTCAGAGTGAATAATAGTCCATTGTATGTATATATGGTTCCCTGGTTTAATTTGATTCAATTAAAAGGGCTTTCTGGGCTGGGTACAGTGGTTCACACCTGTAATCCTAGCACTCTGGGAGGCCAAGGTGGGTGGATTGCCTGAGCTCACAGGTTCAAGACTGGCCTGAGCAAGAGCAAGACCTTGTATCTAAAAACTACTCAGGCATTGTGGTGGGCACAAGCAGTCCCCGCTACTCAGGAGGCTGAAGCTAGAGAATCACTTGAGCCCAAGAGTTTGCTATGACCTATGACACTAGGGGTACTCTACCAAGGGTGACAAAATGAGACTCTGTCTCAAAAAAATAAAATAAAACAAAACGAAACAAAATAGGCTTTCTATTTATATCAAGTAGTGAAATAAATTAAGTACTTAACTTCTTGTCAAGTCCCTAGCTGCTGCTCCAATACCCCTGGCAATTAAGATGCTATATCATACATAATTTATTTACCTGAAGAAGTCAGGCAGGTACATTAATGGGGTTCTAAAAAGCACGTTTTAAGGTTAAAATAAATCACTAACAGTACTCTCATTAAAAACATAAGGCTTTGAAGGAGAAAAAGCATATCAACTTACCATCCCATCAATGACTTTTCCAAATACCACGTGTTTGCCATCCAGCCAGGTGGGCTTGGTTAAGGTGATGAAGAACTGAGAGCCATTGGTGTCTGGCCCAGCATTGGCCATGCTGACCCACCCAATGCCATAATGCTTCAGCTTAAAGTTCTCATCTGGAAATGTCTCACCATAAATGCTCATACCTGGGTGAGAAAAAGGAGGAAGAGGAGGATTAACAGATGTCAGTGAAGTAAACTCTTCAAAGGGAAAGATAAGGCTTTAGTGGAGTCAGATAATAGAGCCTACAGGAGGTAGGAGAACACAAGGAGAAGTGAGAGAAGGGATAAGCTAACTCCTCAAGGAGGCAGGGAACCAGGGCTTAAAGCAAACAAACAGTGCTCAATGTGGCACCGGATGTCAGAGTATCCTCTGGCCATAAACCAAGTGCCAACCCTTGATCAAGCAGGTCAGTGATTTCACTCTGAAACTGATTTCGCTCTGAGAAAGAACTGAAGGGCAGGATGGCATCCTAAAGCCAGAAAGGTGGGTGAGCCATCACACTGGCTGTTTCTGTCCTGAGGCTGAGGTGACTTGTCCTGGGCCACTGCTACCTCAGCACCCAACCAGGGCATTCCAAGCACTCAGGATATACTCTTATCTACTTCCCATAACAAGCCTGAGGAACAAATATTCTCCGTCTTGTTTCGTAATGGGGAAAAAAGATTAGAAAGCATGACACTAGCAGAGCAGAGTTTGAACATCTGACTCTAAAGCTGGTGCTTTTTCTTTCTCCACTCCCAGAGCAACAGCAGGTAGTCTGGAAGTTATTCGGTATAACAACTTCAGGGCCCATCGGGACACAGGGTGATGGCAAGTTGGGACACCCAGGGCTCAACCTGAACAGAAGAACCAGGGAGGCACGTGGATTGGAGTATTAGCAAGGCTGCAGGGAGAGCAGAAGACCTTTCCCCAAAGACCAAGAGAAGCGTCTGCCCATTGCTCAGTACCTCAAGGGCCCGCCGTGCCCACCTCCCCATTTGTGGATCTCCTCATCCAGTGGTTGCCAACCTCAAAATCCTGGCTCAGGGAGAAGGCCCAGAAGTGGATCTCAAAGAAAAGCAATTGATAGCTTGGTTGGTCTGTGCCATTCAAGGTGTCCTGGTAGGAGAGCTCTCTCCCAGAGGAGTCTAGACTAAATTTAAATGGCCCAAAAGTTCCTCTCTCCAAAATTCAGAGACTTCTAACTCAAGTTGGCACATACACTGGGCAGGACAGGCAGTGAAACAGTAGCAGAAAAAGGGCCGAGTAAAGCTCAGGCCCCACTCCCGCTGGGCCCCTGGGGGAAGGTGGGAGGCCCGCACTGAAGGCTGCAGGGCTTCCAGGCAACCCTTCTCTGCAGCAGCTGGGGTTGCTTCCATGAGCCTTCTCAGCAAACTCTGTCACTGGGAGTCACCTGAACACGTTGTTTCTGCCTCATTCTATGTCCCAATACTCTGCAGGATTTTGCAAGAACTAAAAGTAATCTTCACAAATGTGTGACAAATCAAACCATCAATGCAGCCACTTTTGTTATATATGAAGAAACCACTGCAATAAATATAAAATGAGAAATAATGCCTGAAAATGGCCTTACATGTTTCTTTAAAAATGGATAGCTAATATCCACCAAAACCAGTATTTGCTGAATTAAAACATTTTAAACCTGAAATAAATCTAAATTCTGTGTGGTTCCATACATGATGTGCTTTCAGGAAAAGAACACACTGCTACATTTCTGAGAAGGGAGGCTCCCTAGAGCTGGGCGGCTGCGATCCTCAGTGAGAAACAAGCTGGGGGGCCTGGAACTCCAGAAATGGAATTATCTTACTTCAGTAAGCTCAAGCTTTGTTTATAAGAAGTAGTTCATATCCTAATTTTCTAACTCAGCCTTTACTTTAACTTTTTATTTTTGAGATAGAGTCCCACCCTGTCATCCAGACTAGACTGCTGTGGCGTCATCATAGCTCACAGCAACCTCAGACTCTTGGGCTCAAGCAATCCTCTTGCCTCAGCCTCCTGAGCAGCTGTGACTATAAGGTGGCCACCACCACACCTGACTAACTTTTTTTTTTCTGTTTTTAGTAGGGACAAGGTCTTGTTCTTGCTTAGGCTGGTCTGAGCTCAAGTAATTCACACACCTCGGCCTCCCAGAGTGCTTGGATTATAGGTGTGAGCTACTATACTCATCCTTAATTTTTTAATTACTAAAAAATACTTCTGAAAGAAGGTGGGAAATGCACTATGATCCTGCCCTAAATGCCATCACCACCCCCAGGCCCGCGTCTACCTCCCCCAACGCTTCCCTCTGCAGAGCTGCCACCCCAGAGCGCACAGCTCTATGTCCTCCACTTCCTCTTTCCATGGCTGCAGACTAGGAGTCTAGCATTTAAACCACTGCAAAATATGCAGCCGAATGACTATATCTCCTCTATAGAAAGACAGTGAACACCAAAACAATCCTGCTTCAAATCAGGACTCCTCACCTACCAAGATTCTGGTAGATAAGGCCCTGGAAACTCTATCCCTCTCACAGATGAGAGCTGTCATTGTGACTTTGTTCCTTACGTCTGGGATTTTAGTATTTTGAGTTAATACAGAGGGTTAATCTTAGGTTTCAATTTTGTAAGTTGGAAGGGAAAAAGGCTAAGACGACATTACCGCCAGTGCCATCTCCAGCCGTGAAGTCGCCTCCTTGAATCATGAAATCCTTGATGACGCGATGAAACTGGCTTCCTTTATATCCATATCCTTTCTAAAGAGATTATTTCCATTAAAGACGCAAGTAGATAAAACCCTTACGGAAAGATAAATTCAGGGTTACCTGGAAGTAACACAGTGAGACCTCATCTCTCCAAAAAAATAAGAACAAAATGAGAAAATGAAAGAAAATAGCTGCTGAACTTAATTAGGTCCCAGTGACCATTTTCTGAGAAAAACTTATCACTAGCTGACAACAAAATAAACAAACTATGGAAGCAAAGTATTAATGTTAGGAAGTAAAAAGACAGCAAAGTGCATTTTCAGTCGAGGATTATTTCCCCCAATTTCTAGAAGCTGTCGCATACCGAATGCCTGAAACATGCGGATTTTATAGGAAAATAATGTGAAATATAAGGTGTCACAAATTCATCTGATATACTAATTGAATACTTACCTTCCCAGAAGACTTCTTTATATTTGGCTTCAAAAAAAGAAGAACCAAATTTGTACACAGTTAAAGGAAATAAAACCAAGACCCACCTCTCCTGTTGCGAGAGCAATAAAGTTTTCCACAGTCTTAGGCACAACTTTTCCAAAGAGGCCAATCACAATCCTGCCAACATCTTTGTCTCCAATCTTCACATCGAAGAAGACCTGTGTGTGGTGGAGGGGCATTGCAGAAGGTTATAATGTGGAAAGGCCACACATACAGGCAAGTCAAAATTCAAATCTAAGAATTGATCCAAATACCAAGGTCCTTCCCACTAATATTTTATAAAGGAATCATGAAGGAACATTGTATCAATGAAGGGTACCCTAAAACCACTGAGTGGCTGCATTTCACTCACAAATATTCATTCAACAAACATTAACTGAGCACCACTCATGGGACAGGCACTGTTCTAAGTACTGAGTTTAAAGTTTGGTCCATTGCTGTTGGGGTCAGCCACTCTTCTCACACCTCTCAGACAAGTTGCTATTTCCTGTTTCTGGCTTTGTGGATAAAGATCAGAGTAGAAAATGTGGCTCTTTTAAAAGGTAATGCTTTGAGCTGCAGTAATAATCTGGTGCAAATCTTTGTTATAAAGTGATTTTTGGTCTTTTGGATATACACCTAGTAGAGAAACTGCAGGATCAAATCGCAGGTCTACTTTTAGATCCCTGCGTATTCTCCATACTTCTTTCCAAAAGGGACGTATTAGCTTGCACTCCCACCAGCAGTGCAGAAGTGTTCCCTTTTCTCTGCATCCACACCAACATCTGTAGTTTTGGGATTTTGTTATGTGAGCCGCTCTTACGGGAGTTAGATGATATCTCAAAGTGGTTTTGATTTGCATTTCTCTGATGATTAAAGATGATGAGCATTTTTTCATGTGTCTGTAGGCCATGTGCCTATCTTCTTCAGAGAAGTTTCTGTTCAAGTTCCCTGCCCACAGTGCAATGGGATTACTTGTTCTTTTCTTATTAGTAAGTTTGAGTTCTCTGTGGATTCTGGTTATCAAACCTTTGTCAGAAGCATAACTGGCAAATATCCTCTCCCATTCTGAGGGTTGTCTGCTTGCTTTACTTACTATGTTCTTGGCTGTGCAGAAGCTTTTTAGTTTGATCAGATCCCAGTAATGTATTTCATAATAGCCAAGTCCTGGAAGAAGCCCAAGTGCCCATCAACCCATGAATGGATTGTGGTATATGTATACCATGGAATACTATGCAGCCTTAAAAAAGATGGAGACGTTACCTCTTTTACATTCACCTGGATGGAGCTGGAACATATCCTACTTAGTAAAGTATTTCAAGAATGGAAGAAAAAATATCCAATGTACTCAGTACTATTATGAAACCAATTTACAATCACTCACACTTTTATATGAAGAATAGATCACAACTATGGCCCAAGATGAAGAAGGGAGGAAGGGGGATAGGAGGGGAAGGAGGAGGTCAAATCGGGGGAGGGTGAATGGTGGGATCACACCTATGGTGCATGATGCAAGGGTACATGTCGGATCTATTAGCATAGAGTATAAATGTCTTAACACAATAACTAAGTAAATGAGATGAGGTATATATTAACCAGTGTAATGTAAGCATTCCTAATTCTATATGAAATCAGCACATTGTACCCCATAAATGCATTAATGTATACATGATCTATGTGTTTATGCTTTAATAAAATAAATAAATAAAAAGTAATGCTTTCTAATCTGGCAGGAGGGAAAAAAAAACTGGTGAAAAGAGAAATGGGCTAACCATCTAGATTTATTTTTTTTAATTTAAAATAGTGCCAAATTCCCAGTGAGTTCTCAACAAATGTCTGCGATCCCAGAAACTGTAAAGGATGAAGAAACACACAGTGGTCCTTCAAAAGGCTCGTCACTCGTGTCTGAGCACAGGATGGCACCAGGTCCCCAGCCTCATCCAAAGGGCAGCCCATGTCGTGCTCGGGTCCCAGCAAAGCCATTCACCCTGTAACTGAGACACTAGACTCAGTCCTCATATTTACAAAGTTACCCAAGAGGAATTTATTCTTTCTTTACCACGACATTTTGGAACAGAAAAAAGAAAACACCTATCTAGAAGCGAGTATGTCACTGTTTGCAGGTTAAACCTCAAAAGTTCTCTTGGACTTCTTTTTAAAAGTGTTTTATCTGAAACGATAGCATATACATTTTGCTTTACAAATCACTGTGATGACGGTTCTGAGGCAGAATGCTTGAAAAGGCCATGGAGTCGAAGGGCATTCTATTAGCGAGTTTAGATTATATGAACCAATTTACTGTTTGAATGGGGAAAAAAAGACATTTCAAGAAATGGCTTTAAAAAACATAAGAAGGGTTGTCAAAGAAAAAAGATGACTTACAGTTTTGAAAAATCACTAAGTAAAGACTGTCAAGCTTTGGTGCAAGACGAGAGCTGCTGCCGATACATCAGAACGTCTGTCATGGGCTGATGTGGTATTTAGTGTTCCATGTGACATTTTAAAATTTTCATACGGCCAAAGCAGCAAAACTTTTCTTAATATTTGTATAGAAGTGCTTTATAGAATGCGTAAAAGGCCCTGCCCGTGAGATGAGGCGTGCAAAAGAAGGAAGCCACTCAACATGGTGGGGGAGGAAGCTGCCTCCACACACTCGTGAGCCTGGTCACTGCAGGGCTGGTGTCAAAGAGAAACGGGGTCTCTAAAGGGACTTCCAAGCCAAGGTGTAAATTCCACAACCAGAAAAAATGAAGCAATACCGGAAAGAGAACCAGGAACATAATCTTCTTGTCTATGAAGGACTGTACACATCAGGAAAGCCTCCGAGAGGCTTAAAGGACAGAGAGTAAAGCCTGTCAAAATTTAGAAGCATAAAGAATAAATCTGGGAGAGCATCATGAGAAGATGAAGAAAAAGCACCTGTCCCCCAGCATAACTCTGCAACAAAAATCTTAGTTTTTTTAGATACAGCCTGGTTCATGTACTAATATGATTCTTTCCCCAAATTGCAGTATCTTCCAACTTCATGAGTGAATGCAAGAAAATACACCACTTTTCCCAAATATAATGGCAAGGATAAAATGAAATCTTATGTAGTCAATAATGATTTATTAAGGATCAATGTAAAAGGCAATGTATGTAAAAGGGCACAAACTCCATATGGAAATCCCTGTCCTAAGTTAGCTTAAACTAAAGGATAGGTAAACGCATAACCAGAGCACAAGGCAGTCTGTGACAAGTACTCTCAGAACTGTATAAACAATTCAGTAAGGTTCCCTAACCTTGGTATTTCAGTGTCTCACAGCTGTGTTCACGTCAACGTGGTGGTGCCCTGCTGAGTGGTGTACATTTTGTGGCATGTTTTTGTGTGCCATCACAAAAATGTTGGAGCTTGAATAAATGCAATGAACAAACATTAAATTTCTTGTTAAACTTGGCAAGAGTGAAAGTGAAATCAGAGACATGTTAGTTTTGAGTTTATAGGGATAATGCCATGAAGAAAATGTCAGGGAACAAATGGATTAAATGTTTTTAGGAGGGGAGAGAAAGCGTCACTGGTGAAGACAGGTCAAGGTGCCAGTAATGAGCAGAACTTACAAAAACATTTCAAGAGTTTTTCAAATCATGTGTCAAAGGACTTGTGAGAAGTATTATGAAAAACTTAGACAAAAGGACCTGAACTTTTCACCAGCAACTCATGGTTCTTGCATCACGACAGTGTACCAGCTCTCACAGCACAGTCTATGAGGAAGTTTTTAGTCAGTAAACAAATAACCATATTGGAACACCCTCCCTACTCACTTGATCTGACCCCCAGTGACTTTTTTCTTTATCTAAAGATAAACAAAATATTTAAAGAAAGACATTTTGATAACATTCAGGACATCAAGGGTAATATGATGACATCTCTGATTGCCATTCCAGAAAAAGAGTTCCAAAATTGTTTGTAGGGTGAACTAGGCACTGCCATCAGTGCATAGCTTCCCAAGGAGAGTAATATTCAGCAATGAGATATGCAGCACTATTTCTAAGATGAATTTGTGAACTTAACTGTCAGACTCCACATGCCCAAGCTGAGAAAGGGTGTCCTGGAGGAGCTATGATGGGAGGCAGACCAGGGAGGAGGTCAGTAGTTTTCTTGGACAAATGGGCACAGGCCCTGACTTGCAGAGTTCTTTCTGGGACCAAAGCACCAAGACAGGAAGTGTGGTCTGTGTGCAGAGAAGCAGTGCAGCCTTTCTAACCACAATAGGGGTGGGGGGACAGGGGAAGGGAGCTCCCCACCAGGTCCAGAAAGCAGAGAGAACAAGCTTTCCGGCAACAGACAGAAAGGAAAGAATAGGCCTGTGGGAGGCTTTGGGAATATTACCCAAATGGGGAAAAGGTGTGGAGGCTCCTACAGTAAGGTCATGATGGTCTGCACTGTGGTGGAGGCTCAGGGAATGTACAGGTTGGGGGACATTTAAATAAAGGGGGAGAAATTGGAAGTGGGAGGAAGAGGAAGGAAACAAACACGAATATCTTATATAATTAATCTTCACCACATTGTGGGGGCAGGAACTATCACTAATTTACCAATGAGAAAAGTAGGGAATGAGGGAGGTTACGTGATGTGAGAGCTAGAAGTTCAACCCCAGGCCGCCTCTAGTTAAGCCATGACCTATCATTAATACGGCTTTCCCAGTCTAGGCAGGGAACCCTGAGGGCTAGAAAGCGTTTTAGTTCCCCCTGCTGTAGGCGCATTTCAGCACAAGCAGTTAGGAAATGTTAAGGGGTTCGACATGGACTAAACACTTTACCTGCTGCTATGCTTTGGATGTATGTCCCCTCCAAACCTCATGCTGAAATTTGAGACCCCATGTCAGAGGCAGGGCTCAATGTTCGGGTTGTGAACAGCTTGGTGCTGTTCTCCAGGGAGTGAATGAGTTAACTATCAGTTCCCAGGAAAGCTGGTTGTTAAAAAGAGCCTGGCACCACCCCCCACCTTGTATCCTCTCTCACTGGTGTGATCTCTGCACATACCAGCTCCCCAGTTCCCCTCTGCCTTCTACCATGAGAGGAAGAAGCATGAGGCTTTCACCAGATACCCAATCTTAAGCCTTCCAGCCAGCAAAACCATGAGCTAAATAAATTTTCCTTATAAATTATCCAGCCTCAGGTATTCCTTTACAACAACACAAACAGACTGAGACATCCACTTGATCACGTTTAGTATGGAAAACCCTCCCAGGTGGGTTTTATGTCTATTTCCATTCTACAGAGGAAACTGAGCCTAGGGCCTTACATAACTTGCCCAAGGGCAGCTGTAGCCCACTACATACTAATGTCTGCGAAAGTTGCGATGTGCATGCAGCTGAAAGGACGGCAGCATTCTTTGTGCACACTCAGGCTGGACCCTGCACAGAGCCCATGGCATTGGCTGGAAAATGCAGGGCTGCAAGTGTGCATGCAAGCCACCAAGACAAGTGAGCCAGAGTCCCCACCTGAATCTTGATGGGCAGGGGCAGGAAACGGCAGGGCTAGCTGGGCAGCAGGATCCGTGCAGGAAGTTAGTGACACTGTGGGGCGAACAGCAACTCATATTTCTCTTATTTACAGATTCCTGTCTTTAAATGAAATTAGAGGTAAACAAAAAGACTGCTGGGGAAATCAATACACCAGAGCAATGGCCAACCACACTGCTTTTCTGCACTCGGAGAAATTACATTTAATGCCTTCATGTTCCAATAGATTCAGCTGTTTAAAAAGCTGACTGAAAAAGGAATTCAACAGAGTTGAATCTAAAACTCCCCTACACAATTAGCTTTTAGAACTTTATTATAAAAATGTTACGTGACAATTTTGAGAAGAAGAGTACATGAAAACTCTCCCTCCATAACAGTGCGCTGGCTAGAAGTCAGCATGATATTCTAACTCCCTCCTGCAGCCACCTGTAGCCACCTGCAGGCTCTCTCTGGTGCCCAGTCCAGGCTCAGAATCACCAGAAAGCTTTGACAAGGTGTGAGACTGGGCTGACCCCCCAAGACTGTAACTGACTTTCTCTGGGGTGAGTCTCTGCAGCAGTAGATTGCAAATGCTTCCCAGGTGAAACCTGTTTACAAAATACTGCAAGGCACATACACTAAAAACTTATTCATTGTTCATCTGAAAGTCACATCTAACTGGGCATGCTGTATTTTATCTGCTCCTTGTTTCCACGATCACCACTCTAAAACAGCCATTATCTGGACTCTTGTCCTGGAGCCCTGAAGGACCTCCTAGTTCACTCTCCACTGAGCAGGATACATGAGATGTCATTTCCATGCTTCAAACCCTTCAGCAGCTCTGACTGCACTTAGGTTAAACCTTCAGATTATAAGGATAATTGCATCAATACCCACGCCCCACCTGTGGCCTCTAGGACGGCCCAACTTCACTGCTCTCTCCTTTGACCTTGACTGCAGCTGTGTTCTTCTCCTCCTGTGCTGAAGCCACACCCTGGGCTCTCTGCAATCCCTTAGAGCACAGGTGCCTTTTTCCTGTCAGAAGACCTTGCACGTGCAGTTCCTTTTGCCTACTCTGTTGGTATTACTCAACTCTCAGGTGTTTTTCAATGTTACCTAATGTATATTAGGGTTGACGTCCATCAACATTTCACAAGTGTATGAATTTTATGTTTATGGCTCCATCCCTGTTCAGCTCTGTGGCCTTGCAGAAGCCATTTCCCAAAGCTACTTAAAAGATCGGGCTGGGAGTAGAATCCGTGCTTCTCCAATCAGGCTGTGTTCATCACCTCCACCTGAACACCCCCAACCCATCTCCAGAGCCCTCTCCTCCCCTCTGTAGAAGATTCAAGCATTCCTCTAGTTCAACACTGTAATTTCCACTGGCAAACACCAGACTGATAGTTAAGCCCACTTTCAGCTTCCTCCTCCCTCCAGTTTCCAGGACACTCCTGTCAGTGGGTTTTCCAGAAGTGGATCATGAGCACCAAATCATTCCCTCCCTCTCTCTCCCTGCACCCTCCCATTCCTCCAACCTTGGGTAAATATGCCGAAATAAGAACGGAAGCGGATTAAGTAGGAAGAAGCCTTCAAGGCGTAGTGGCCTGCCGATTCCCGCCCCTGTTCCCAAATCAAAGCTGTCCGCAGTTCTACAGGTGACCTCTTGGCACCTTCCCAAGTCCAGAGCCTGCCCCCAGCCCTTAGTCTAAAAGCGAACCTCTCCTACCCGGGGAGGCTGGGGTTCCTAAATAGAGGGGGACACCCCGTGGTTTGAGCGAGGTGCTTAATGCTGCCCCGGGCTCTTCCGGGCCTGGTGACACCGCGGCGGGTGGCCCGGCTGCTGCCCGGCGCTCTGAGCGCTTCCTCTCCACAGTTCCCCGTCCCTCCGCTATTCGTCCTGCTCTGCTCCCAAGTCCAGGCCACGCCGAAGGAAGTACTTGGGCAGTCTCCTTCCTGGAAACCTGGCCCGCCGATTCCGGAAGCCTCTCCAGCTCCCAGGTTGGTGACTTCAGACCACCGACCTCTGAGACTGAGGCCATGCAGTGGACGGCGGGGACCGGCTTGCCCAGAGTCTCCCAGGAGAGGACCCCCGGCGGTGCACCCCCCGCCAGCCCCTCAGCCGCCTCCGGTCTCCCTGCGCCCGGGAAGCCTCCCCCCTGCTGGCCCTGACACAGAGGTCCTGGTCCCCAAAGCCCCCCAGCCCACGGAGGGGGAGTTGCTGCCCGCCCGTGGGTCACCTTGGCTGTCACCGAGGGGCCTCGCTTGCGAACGCCTGAAGCCTCCGAAGAGGGCACGAGCGCGCCGAGCCCCACGCAAAGCAGGAGAGGTACCAGCAGCCGGGGACTGGGGCCCATGGTGAGCGGCGGCAGTAGCGGTGACCACACCGGAGCGACCACGGCTCCGGGCCGAAGGAGGGACGCCGGGTCGCTGCGCCTGCGCGCTCCCGGAGGCGGGGAATGGGGATCCGGCGGTCGGGCCAGGGCGGGGACTCGGAGCGCGTCCCTCCCAAGTTCAGCTGCGACACCAGAATTTGGGACTCCGTACCGCACGCAGAGGGCGCAGCCCGAGTCCTTCCCCTGCGCTGCCACGGGCGCTCAGAGCTGCAGGCCGGGAGGGAGCCCCAGCTGCCCGGGCGCAGCGCCGGGAGAGGCGGGGATCCTCGGCTCCGGGCGCGGCAGGTGCGACCCCGTAGGCGCGGATTAAACCGGGATGGAAAGTCGAGGACTTGGGGCTGCGGCTCTGCCCCGCACCTCGCGCGCCGGTGGGCGGGGAGCTCCGCGGAGCCGGCCGGGTCTGACTGCTCCATACGAACCTTTAGCTGAGCTTTGGACGCTGCTCGGAACCTTGGGACCCCTGGATGGGTTGGGTTCTGTTTCACAGGATGGATGGCCTCTGTCTGAGATGAATAGCGTTTGCGGGAAATTGGAAGTTGCTGGATTCCCAGTACTCCCTTTGCTCCCTTTAAAAGTTTGGAAAAACTTTTAAATTGGTTTTAAGTATCTGATGTGCCGGGTGAGCCTGTGATCGTATGTACGCTGTTTTCAGGGGAGCATTTCCCGACACGGGTCCAGTAAAATTCTTTCCCATGGAAACAAGGTGGACAAACAGACTTTTAGCTGTATCTATACAATGAACTTTTCACAAACTTAAGAATTATGTTTAGGAAGATTATTTAATGACTGGGGAAATTCCCATTGTATTTTTAAATGGACAACTCAGGTTGCAAAACCATACAGAAATTCTCTTCTCACCTGTGAAAATTAACCTACAGGGTGGATATAAAGTTCTATACAGCCACCCTGTAAAAGGGATTTTAAAAATCCAAAGCTTTGCACCGAAACATTTGCAGTAGCTAGGGTGATAGAATTGCGGATTTTTGTTTTCTTTGTAATCTGATTTCCCAGGTGTCCTACAGTCAGTATATAAGTATTTCATAACCTGGGAAAGGTTATTTTAATACTCACTGCTTTTTGAATTATGATTTCAAAAGAACATTTTCTCTGTAAACTAAGACCCCTAAAATTAACCAGAAATTATTAATATTCTCTCTCTTTTGGAGGAGGGGACTGGTACCATGACTTTCAGGCCAAGATTTTCCTTGGATAAACAGTTGGGATTCCTCAGTGTACCTAACTGTAGATTTAAAATGACATTGGAACCATTTGTTATAGGTAAAAAGAGTAAACCTTTGCTTTTTGGCATGGACAGACACTTCTGAACTATTTTTATGATTCGGTTAGGTGAAGGACTTCATGGTTTTGTTCTGGAGCCTGCCCCAAAGTAGCAAGCTAAGAGTGACTCTGAGAACACTTACCCCACTGGCTGACTATATATTTATCTGTGTCTATTACTGTAATTGTTTTTGTCTGTCTCCGCTATCAGAAGAAGGTACCACCAGAGCAGAGATCATTCCTTTTGATGTCCCAGATATAGTACAATGAATGCCAGGTACATAGTGATGACTCTATAAAAAGCTGTTGCATGAATGACTGGGCCTAAATACTTTTTGTGCTTATTTATGCCACCCCCCACCCCACCTCCAGGCAAGGAAATGAAATATTCACCAGTTCTCTAAAAACTCATCTTATAACCCCTGCCGGTTAATAGTTTTTCCTCCCCAAATTAACTGCAGTTCTGACTTAAGCTTTGTACAAATGGAACATTACGGTATTTTTGTTGTTGTTACTTGACTTAATGTTTGGGAAATTCATCCATGTTTTTCTATGTAACTACACTGGTGCATAGCATAAGGTAGGGACTAAATTTATCTTTTCTCCACATTGATATCCACTTGTTCTGGCCATATTGATAAGTCTCTCCTTTCTCACTGCTCTTTCGTGCCACTTCTGTCATAAAGCAAGAGTCCTCATATGCATGTGCCTGTTTTTGGACACTCTATCTGTCCCATTGACCCAATTATCTGTCTGTGTGCCAATACCACACTGTCTTAATTAACATAGCTTCATGTGTCGAGGTCAAGAGTAGCCACGAATTTGTTGAACGAAGTTGAAAATACTATATATCCTCTCAACTTCGCTCAACAAATACTTGTTTACTCTTGACTTATTCCATATCTATATAAACTTGAGAATCAGCCCATCAGTTTCCACATTCAGGCAAGGATTTTGAGTGGCATTGCATTTAAGATTTGGCACATTTACAGTTTTGAGTCTTCTAATTCATGCACATAGCATATTTATGTCTTTAATTTCTCTCAATAAGATTTTATAGCTTTCTGCCTAGAGGGGGCTTACACATGTTTTATTAGATTGATTTCCAAGTATTTAGTTTTATATTGTAGTAAAATTAATTTTGTATATTAACCTCGTATATACCAAGCTTGTTAAACTTTTTCATTCCAATAATTGTGAATTATTTTAGGATTGTCTTCAAAGACAATTATATCATCTCTGAATAATGACAGTTTTACTTCATTATGCCTCTTATTTGTTTATTTTTGCCTTATTGTCCCAGCTAGGACCTATAGTACAAAAGGAAGTGGCAACAATGGGAGTCCTGGGGTTGTAGGTTGAATTGTCACCCTAAAGGATATTGAGGTCTAAACTCTAGTATCTTTGAATGTGACCTTATTTGGAATTAGAGGCTTTGCAGACATAATCAAGTTAAAATGTGATCATACTGGAGTAGAGTATGTCCTACTCTAATATGACTGGTGTCCTTATAAAAAGAGAAAAGACAGACACACACAGAGGACACCATGTGAAGATGGAAACAGATTGGAGTGCTGAGGGGATAAGCCAAGGGATGCCAAGGATGATTGGCAACCACCAAAAGCTAGAAGAGGCAGGGAAGGATCTTTCCCTAGAGCGGCAGTTCTCAACCTGTGGGTCGAGACCCATAGGAACTGTATTAAAGGGCCACAGCATTAGGGAGGTTGAGAACCACTGCCCTAGAGCCTTCAAAGAGGGGATGGCCCTGCCAACACCTTGATGGTAGACTGCTAGCCTCCGGAACTGTGAGAGTTCTGTTTGTGGTCATCTGTTACCGCAGCCCTAGGAAACTCATACTGTCTTGTGCCCAGTCCTTGACAGAGAACTTTCAGTGTTTCACCGTGAAATACAATGTTTGCTGAACATTCTTTTAGGGAATATTTTTTCAAATTAATAAAATTCCTTTCTAGTCCTAGTTTGCTAGATTTTTATTATACATTTGATTCAAATTATATGATTTTCCCTTATTCTACTACTATGATAATTTACATTGATTTTCTTCTCTCTTTCTTTCTTTCTTCTTTCCTTTCTTGACAGAGTCTCAAGTTGTCACCCTGGGTGGAGTGCTGTGGTATCATAGCTCACAGCAACCGCTGTGGCATAGCAACCTTTTGGGCTCAAGTGATCCTCTGACCTCAGTTTTTCTATTTTCAGTAGAGACAGGGGGGTTTCACTTTGTCTCAGGGTCTCAAACTTGTGAGCTCAAGCAATCTACCTGCCTTGGCCTCCTAGAGTGCTGGGATTATAGGCATGAGCCACCCACACGTGGCCTGCCTTGATTTAACATCTTAACGTAAGCTTACATTCTGGAATACAGCCAACACGTATTGGCCTTTTTTTGTGTATTACTGTATGTGGTTTGCTAAGATTTTTAAAATAAAAAACTTGCCCAAAACAAAAAGAACAAACAAAAAAGCCCCCCAAACTGGCTTTCCCCTAAAGTTCAGGAGAAAACAGTAGGTAAGTGTGGCCACCGCTTTCCAGTTCAGGCTGAGTTGATTACCCACAGCCCATTTTGATGTTAGTGGGTAAATTTGATAATCTTATTTTCTGGATATTTGCATCTAATTGATGAATGAAACTAGCCTTAAATTTTTCCTTCTTGGAATTTCCTGTCAATTTTTATATCCCTTAACATGAATTGGCAAAAGGTAGCCCCCCACCAACAAGGGAAAGTGCAAACACAAGTCCCCCACTACCACATATTATGCAGTTGAGCTTCCCACATTTGGAGAAATCACAGGGGTCAGCACAACCTGGGAAAGCCTCAACCCGGGAAAACCACCTTCATGATTATGGTATCTCCCCTGCCAGGCACGTATTACAAAAGGTAGATGATTTTCCTGTACTCTTTTAAAGGGTTTGTGTAACATCGTTCTTTCTTCCTTCAATGTTTGTTTAAAGCCATCGGGGCCTGGACTTTTCCTTATTGTAAAGTTTTAAATTATGAATTTAGTTTGTGGCTCGGCGCCTATAGCTCAACCGGCTAAGGCGCCAGCCATGTACACCTAAGGTGGCGGGTTCAAATCCCCAGCCCGGGCCCGCCAAACAACAATGACGGCTGCAACCAAAAAATAGCCGGGCGTTGTGGCGGGCGCCTGTGGTCCCAGCTACTTGGGAGGCGGAGGCAGGAGACTCGCTTGAGCCCAGGAGTTGGAGGTTGCTGTGAGCTGTAATGCCACGGCACTCTACCCAGGGGGACAGCTTGAGGCTCTGTCTCAAAAAAAAAATAAAATAAAATAAAATAAATTTAGTTTGTTAAATAGTTGAAGGTTTATTCAAATTTTCTATCCTTGTGTCAATTTTTACATGTCATATTTTTCAAGGAACATATCCATTTCACTTATATTTTAAAATAGATTTATATAAAGTTTCAAATATCTTTTTATGATTTTATAGTAATGTCTGTAAAACACAGACATATAGTAAGGATCTATAGTAATGTCTTCTTTTTCATTCCTGATATTGGTTATTTGGTTTTTCTTTTCTCATTTTCCTTGGACAGTTTCACCAAGGAGGCTGGTAAATATAATATATTTGGTTTGATTTGATTAATTTATTTTCTGTTTATTACCTTCTTTCTACTTTGTGTTTAGTAGATTGTTATTTTTTTCTATTGTTGAGATAGACTCTTAATTCATCAACTTTTATGCCTTTTTTAAAGCACTGAAAGTAATAGTTTCTCTTAACAAGCAAATATTTAACTACTTCTCTCAAGTTTTAATGATCATTTAGCTAAAAATATCTCCTACTTTACATTTTTCTTTTTTGACCCATGTTATAGAAGTATAGTACTTCATTTACAAAGAACAAGTTTTTTCTTGGCCTTCTAATTTTTACTATTAAAAGTCCATGAAATTTTTAGAGTACCGAGATAAGTATCACATGATTTAAAAGTTTGTAGAAGTCTGTTTTCATGGTTTTATTTGCTTTTTTTTTTCTGTAAAACATGGAAAGTGTAAGGGCTCCTGGTTTTCTTTTTAATTTCAAAGTATTAGAAGGATAAAAATATTTTTAGTTACTAGGATCACTTTTATAGCACTTGAGTCCTGGTATGCCCATCACCCATGCAGTGTTCACTGTACCCGTTATGTAGGTTTCACCCATGCCCTCCTCCTGCCTCCCTACTTGATTTCTGTTAAGTTTTATTAATACTTCCTCCTGAGCACGGGCATGCTTTTCATTTAGTTCCAATTTAATAGTGAGAAAATGTGGTGTTTGTTTTTCCATTCTTTAGATACTTCACTAGGATAATGGCCTCCAATCCCATCCAAACTGTTGCAGAAGGCATTAAGTCATCCAAAGGATGCCTTTAAAAGAGCTTTTTGTTAGGGATTTCAAGCTTAGTTACACTGTGGCCAGAGAACATTTTCTGTATTATTTCATTCTTTTCAATATGTGGGGAATTGCTTTATCCCAGAGGGTCTGAACAGTTTTTTTGATTCTGCCCTTGTTGGCTTTAGTAGTCTATATGTCTATCAGGTTGTTTATGCACCCTACATTCATATATCTATTCTTATTGACTTTTTATCTGCTTGTTATAAGAGTTACTGAGGAAAGTATATTAAAAATCTATCTCGTTATGACTGTAGATTGTCTGCTTCTCCTTGTAGGTCTGTAAATTTTTTCTTTATACTATATATATTTTTATATATATTTTGAAGAAATTTTATTGAATGCAAACAAATCTAAAATTATCTTTTGATGATTAAATGTTTATCATTATGAAATATCATCCTTTTTTTTTTTTTTTTGAGACAGTCTCATGTCACCCTCTGTAGAGTGCTATGGCGTCTCGCAGCAACCTCCAGCTCTTGGGCTTACGCTATTCTCTTGCCTCAGCCTCCCAAGTAGCTGGGACTACAGGCGCCTGCCACAACACCTGGCTATTTTTTCAGGTTGTTGTCGTTGTAACTGTCATTGTTGTTTTGCAAGCCCTGGTCCCGCCAGCCCCAGTGTATGTGGCCAGCACCCTAACCACTGAGCTACGAGCCATGAAATATCATTCTTTATTTCTAGTAATGCCTTTTTGCCTTACTGATATTAACATAACTCTCTTTTGGTTTATCTTTTTGTGTGATCCTTTTACCCTTTCTGTACTTGTGTTTTACTTGTGTTTTAATATATCTCAATGAGTAGCATAAACTGATTTTTCAATGAAGTTTAACAGTTTTTATCTTAAGTAGAATACGTAATCTGTTGACATTTGAATATCCACTTACATAAACACCTACATTTTTTTCTCTTGGTATTCTGGTTTATGTTCCCCTTTCTTGCTTTATTCTGAGGTGGTGGGACTAATGTGTATTCCCCCTCTACTCTATTGATAGTCATATATTCTTTTATTATTCTTCCAGTCGTTAGACTAGAGCTTACAGTTGATTTTTCAAAGCCTGATATTACTTGTTACTTTTATTCTCTTTCTGGGTAATGGGAGAACCTCAGGACACTTCACCTCCATTTGCCCTCTGTGGAGTGTTATGGATGGTCATGTATTTTATTTTACCCCCATAACATAATTATTACTACCTAATAAACTCATATACATTTAGACTTACCCACAGATTTACATATCATTGTTTGTCATTACTTTCTATCTGTCAGACCTTCCATGTGTGATTGATCATTTGCCTTCTGCCTGAAGAATTCCATTTGGTATTTACTTAACTGCTAGTCTGCTAGTGGTAAATTATTTTATTTTTGTTTACCTGAAAATGTCTTCTTTTGACCTTCATTTCTGAGGATACTTTTTGCCTAGTATAAAATTATTTTCTTTCAGCTGTATGAATATGTCTTTTCTTTTGACTTCAAACTTTCATAATTTCTATTGACAAATCTGCTGTTCGTCTAATTGTCGCGCTGTTGAAAGTGACCTGGTTTTTTATCTGAATGCTTTCAACATTTTTACTCTCTATATTTTGGTTTTTGAAGCAGTTTTTAAAGAATTTGCTTAAGGTTAGATTTTTAAAAATGTATCCTCCTTGGGTTACATAGAATTTTTTGACTCTGTAACTGGATGTCTTTTACCAATTTTAGAGAATTCTCAGTCACTGATTCTTCAAAAACCACTTATAAACAATCTTACTACCCTAATACAACTATTTTCATTTTTGTAAATTCCTGTATGGTCTCTTTCACATGCAAAAATATTTGAAGTGATGCAATCATAGCGTAACATTATACAATTAAGATTATAGATAAAATGTAAGACTACAAAATGAAACCCTAGTATCACATGTATGATAAGAAGATTAGCTAATCTCTTGGGAGTTATTTTTTTGTCCTATCAAAATAAATAACGACGGTATAGTATTTTCAGTTTGGGTCTTTTGTTGTGGAAGTTCTGATTCATCACAGAAACAGGCTGCTTGTGTTTTATTTATTAATCATTTATGAGTACCAAAGAGTATAGTTTTATCCATATTTAGTGGGTTTTTGTTCTTAGCACGTTAGAGGCGTATTTTAGATTTCTGCTGCTTATAAAATATGGCTGTCAAAACTACACTTAAGTGTCTATGAAAACCCTTTGTTTTTTATTCAGTATGTTAACTTTCCCCCTCATTTATGTAAATAACATCTTAGTTCAGTCAGATATTCCCTTCCTTTCAAAGTACAGTGGAACTGGCACAAAGTACTTTTTACATAACTAGCTGTTTGAATGAGTTTTGTTTTGCCTGGGAAATTTCCTTCAAATGTTGGATGAGGGGGAAGCGTGAAGTCACCCGTGATCGTCAGGAGACCCCAGAGGCTACTGGCTAGACCCTGCATCAGGGGTGAAATGACTGGACAGGCTTGTCCTTCTTGTCATTGATATGGAAGCTTCTGGAGCTTTCCCAGTGTTCTCACCTTCATGAGCTCCCCTGACAAACTTTCAATAACTAAGATCTTCAAAAGATTAAAAACAAATCTTTTATACGCCCACGGGGGCAAAACTGACAAACACTCTTCTATCCAGGAGTCATTAAGACACTCTGTTCTTGCCCTCCCTGAGCTCCTTCCCCACCAGCCAGGACAGAAGCAGCAGCTGTCCCAGGCAGGGCACTGGGATACAAAACTTGAAGCCTCAGGTGTTTCAAAGGTAGGATGT